TAGATAGATAGATAGATAGATAGATAGATAGATAGATAGATAGATAGATGATAAATAAAAGGAAGTTATCAAAACCACAAACCAATGCAGCTATCTGAGCAGCACATTGTGCTCCCTTGTTTCTCAGAGCTACGCTGGCCATCGTCAACTCCTTCAATTTCACTCTTCTGAATCAATGGCAGGAAAATTTGTCCACAGAAATGTTCCTGTGCTGTTATCTTTCCAACCCAATGATATGCTCCCAATCTCCTTCTAGTATACCAGTCTTTGGCTCACATGAAACATACTAGCTTCCAGAAAGCAACTTTCTCATTTATGCTGTTTGGTGGTCCCAAACTATCAATGTTTAAGTTATCCAGAACATCAGATAAATATTTTAGCAACCACTTTATTTTCATCCAGGCTAAGGGACAGTTTGGAAATGTTACTATTCTAAGTACATAACTGAGAAACTATGGCAGGCTGTCAATGCTACTGTTTGGGAAGCTAGCTTATCTATCATCATGATACAATAAAATTCTTTGCACAAGGCTGCAGGATCGTGAGGTGATATAAAGGGTGGTTAGCTTCATTTCCAATGTTGCAGAGTCCAGAAGAATGAGGTCCATTTTCTTATGCCTTGGGAATTGTTTGAGATACTCTCATGCCTGGAAATGACAAAACATAAAAACAGACATTTAGTTAGAACCAGTAGCATTTCTTCTGAGGCATAGCAATAAACAAAATGTAAGTTTGTTTACTGTTAATCTGTTGGATTGCCATTAACATTTTATGGGAGATGATATTGAGGTGTGGGCAAGCTATGTACAATAAATGGTCCCTGACCTTTGGATGCCTACACTTATTCTCTGGGTTCATGTACTTTCTTTGTCTTTTGCCCATCACCCACATCACAAAAGGTCAGCTTCAAGGACTCTAAAGATTCCACATCAGTAATTCAAAGCTTATGTATACAACAAAGCAATTCAGACTTATATGTGCTATATAAGAAGAACATGTCAAGCATTAGTGTTGTCTAAACTCTCTGCTGAGCTTAAGAACACAGATTTCTGGACTGTGTCCCCCATACTTTGATTCAGCAGGTCTATGGAGAGGGCCAGGAATCTATTTCAAAACAAGCTTTGGCTGTGACTCAAAGACATTGGCACCTGGATTCGGGGACTCATTAAACCACTGTATGGCTGGCAGAATCAGCTTTACATACTGAAAATATAATAGACTAGATAGCCTAAGGACATGTTCCAGACCTTAAACATTTTTACTAAGATGATTAGACTTCTTCTCCCTACCATATCTTATCTAGTAAGAAAATAAGAAAATCTCTTGATGGTATAGTGTGGTGGTTTAGATCTAAGTCTAGATGACCATGGAGATACATTTCACACCTCTGTACCTGCCTTCTTTGTTGCATCCTTGACCCATCTAAACCTCAATAATTGGCCTCTGTAAAATCTGTGTGGACAGCAACTGCAAAGGCAGCATCTGGTAGCTGGGAGCAGAGAGAGTGATGGGAAGACTTTATGAGTTGTATCTCATGAAATCTGGGGAAGACTGGGGGAAAGGTGCTAGAAGAATAGAGTAACTACTATGCATGTGATAAATGAAAAGATTTTGAGAAGCACAGTCATGAATCACAGACTTCTCTAGTGTTTCTATTCTTAAATCTTTTTATTTATGTACATGAATGTGTCTACACAACTGTATGTTGCATGTGTGTGCAATTGTCTGAAGAAGCCAGAAGATGGCACTGGATACTGTGGATTTGAAGTTGCAGGCAGTTTTGAGTAGCTGATGTGGGTGCTGGGAACTAAACTCAGGTCCTGTGGAAGAGAAGCAAGTGCTCATAACTTCTGACTCATGGCTCCAACTGCTTCCTCAGTGTTTTTCAGAAATCCCAGAAGAGAAATGATTTGCCTTCTATGCCTGGTTTGCCATTTGTGGGTTTGAGTTCAGTACAGAAGATGCAGACCTGGGATACTGGGATATGAAGGGCTAGCTCTCTGTCTATTTCAAAGACTCTATTTAAGGCTGTCTTGATTTTAGAGCCATTCAAACTCACCTTGGTAAAGATATAAACATTGGCCTTTGGCCTATGAAGAATTTTTATGAGTCTAGAAACCCATTTCCTGCAAGTTGGTACAAAGTCAGAGAGCACAGGGTGGCACAGATCTGTGTAATGATATGTGGTCCCTTTGGGATCATAATACAGGGGCAGAGTCCTCTTAACCTGGACCAGAGTTCTCTCCTCTGAGCACAGAGCTGTACCATGGAGAAGGTAGAAGAATGGAGTATTTGAACCAGTCAAAATACCCTCCAGAGATGGGTCCTGTCCTATTCTCACATGACCCTGGGATCATTTGCTGCTGTTTCTAGCACTGTTTGCCTTGTCTGGAGATATGGGTCATCTTCTAAACATCCATCACAGACTTCTTCCTTGAACCATTATTGACTTTGAGTCAGAGGCACCTGTGCTGGCTTGAAAATGAATTTGCCCTCTCTCTTCTTCTGCCTTGCCTGTCTATGGCAGATTTATGTCTGAGAAGCTTCCATAAGTTTTATTTTTGGACATTGTGGCCCATGTTACTTCCACTGCCTGCTCTTCTCAGTCCAGCTCTCTAACCTGACTTTGCTTTATCTCTTTCTTCACAGGACTCTCTCTCAGCCCACTCTCTGCTTCTATAACTCATCCTTCATACAGTCTTTCCACCTATATATCCATCTGGCTTCTCAATGCTCTATCTATGGTAGTTTCATTTCCATAGCTGGTCTGGAGCATCATAAGAAGCAGTGTCTACCTTTCATGCCCAAACACTAGGTAGGCTTGTAGGATTTGAGGAGAGATATATCCAACTCCAACATTTTGTTGTGTGCCTATGAAGGGGAGTGAGGTGAGCACACTGAATAGGAGCTGCAGAATCTACATAAAGCACCCACAAATGTGCCTGGGGTATTGCAATGTGCCCTAATGGCAGGTTTGTCTCTCTTGTTTGCATGACTTTGATTTCTTCCATGCTTGTAGGCACTAAAGACTCAGCACTCCGTATCTAGTAAAAGCTGTGCCTCTACAATGCAGAGTGCAGCTGGTAGCATGTCCATCCCCTCATGTTTTAATGGACCTAACACAGCACAATCATCTTCAGGTCTTCAGTTTCCTTCCATGTTACAGCTACCACTGACAGTAGAGCTTTTAATTTTACCCAGAGATGTCAATGAAAGGATTTATTGACAAGTAAACAGGGTTCCCAGGAAGGGGTGAGGAAGTAAATGATTCAATCCCTGATATGCTTCCAGCCCACTTGGAAAATACTTTGTACAGAGTGAGGCCAGTACACTGACCACAAGGAGTCAGGTGAGCAGCCTTGGATACCTGACCTTCTACAATCATGGAGCTCAGCAGCCATGCATGCTCCAATTTTCAACTATGTCTAGGTTATATATATGATATTGGCAGGTTAACTGTCCCCTCCTTCAAGAATATCCCTGAGAAATGACTGGGGGACAGCATTGTATTGTCAGGGGCACATTCTCCAGAGTCATAAAAGGTAACAGAAGGGATTTTCCATTGTTCTGCATAGTTGGAGAGACATTTGGAAAAGGGAGCTTTGAATTTGGAAGAGAAATCAAAATGTCCCAAAGAAGACCCGCATCAAAGTTTTCAGGAAAGACTACAGAAAACCTTTGCATCCATCTTTCCCTGAAATGCACAGGAAGGGCTTTGACATTTCCCTGTGCTCTGTAGTATGATTCAGTGGGTACAGGTAACATCATAGGTGCCACCTTTGAGTGTAAACTGAACCCCACTGACTTTTTGAATGTGAAACTCTCATCACGTTGGCCTATTTTCTATCACTTTACATAATGGGATCCTAAGATAAGAAATGTATGAAGCTGAGAGGTTTATTTGGGCTCAAAGTTTTGGAGAGAATGTCTGTGATCAGTTGGGCCTGTTGCTTTGGCTAACAGTAGAGACCACATAGTGAACTGGAAGAAAAAAAAAAGAAGAAGAACAACAAAAAGACCAGAATCTCCTGAAAGCCCAATGAACCAAAGACAGCTCAGAGGACCTTACTGTTTAAGGTCCATCATTGCCATATAATGCCAAGTTTAGGCATCAAGCCTCCAGCCCACAGGCCTTTAGGGGACCTTCTAGATCCTAATGATGCACTCATTAAGCTCCAGAAAACCTTTCTCCATGCTCTCTGAGTACATTGAAAGCAGCATCTTTTTACTGGGTGTACCAAGAAAGTTTTTTAAAATCCTACTCCAACCCTTCTTATGCTCAGTCCAAAGGAAGTACTTTTCTACAGTGAATGTGACATGACATTGCTATGTCTCTCTCCTGGAGTTGGGCCTGAGTGGGAGCTGCCCACAGGCAAAATACCTTGATAGTGTGTAAAGGGAAGCTTGGACTGCAGAGCCTGGCTGGCCTTTCCTGTCTTTACAGTAGTGGTTCCTCATTTGCTTACCCATTAGAATCACCTGGGGAGGTGAAATAGTTCCTGAACAGAGGACTGACTGTTCTTGATCTGGAGAATGCAGAAACTGCAGACGGGAAGCATTAGACTTGATGGTGACAAGGTCCTCACCTATCTCCCTGTGCTTCCATTCTAAAATGTGTTCATAGTATAGCATGGCTCAGCCATTCAAGACAGGATTTACAAAGAGTGTTTTCCTCACTCACATGACAGGGGCCACTGCTGTCTTTGCAGGTAGTGACCTTTGCCCATGGGGATTAATGATATGGTCTGTTTGGCTTTTGTAACAGGGCTAAGACAAAAAATGGTTTGTTATCCTCTCTCTCTCTCTCTCTCTCTCTCTCTCTCTCTCTCTCTCTCTCTCTCTCTCTTTGTGTGTGTGTGTATGTGTGTGTGTTTATGTGTGTGTTATCTCAGCAGTCCCTTAATTCAGGCTGTCCTGTGAGCCACTCAGGTGTCTCCTACCCATTTTCCCCATCTCTGCCTCCCTGTGCTGAAATTATAGGTGTACACTATAACACCTAGATTTTTATGGGTGCTGGGGATCCAAACTCAGGTCCTCATGCTTGCATGGCAAACACTGACTGAGCCATCTCCCTGGGCCTAGAATGGCTTTAAAATTAGGTTACCACATTTACCAATGACACAGCCTGGAGAGGCTCACACAAAAACCTATTTAACAATCTTCTTTTAAAAGTCTTAGCTCCCAGCAGGCTAGTGGGGCAGGCAGAGCAGCTACAGAACTGCATTCTGCCTACAACAAAGTATGGTGAACAATTTTCTAAGGGCAGGGCCTCCTGACCTCTCTTCTTCAGCTTTTTCTTAATAAACTGGCCTTTAAAACTTATATCACAAAAGCCACTGGTGGCAATGTGGTAAAGTAGGTGGGTGAAGGAAAAGCTGATAGAGAGATGTCGAGGATCAGGGAGCCTCTTTGATGAGTATCTCTGAGACAATGCAATTATATTTCATTTTCTTCGAGATTTAGGAAGGGTTTAGGTCAGGTTCACTACCAGAAACCCAGCAGCATGAGTGTGAAATCTAGAGAGTAGGGCAACTTCCAAGTATTCTGACAGACTCCAAATTACCTCTCTGTAGCATGTTTCACATGCTGATTAATAACAGCACTTCCTGAGATGTCCAGGGGCTAATTAACTTCCTATTCAACAGAG